GAATATGGTCAGAAGGTATTTTGATAGGGAAGGGAAGCAAAAGGAAAATGTGTTACTGGTTACAACACAGAGTGAAGAACCAAGTTCAGAGGATTCTGAATTGGACATTCCTCAAATCAAATTGGACAATGACGATGTGGTGATATAGAATAACAACTCTTGGAAAACTAACCAAAAAAATAGATACAGTACCTGTTACTAATTAACTGTTCCAATATAGTAACATCCTATAAACACACCCCTTGGCGAAAAGGTGAATTCAGACACAGATTCTTACATGTAGTTCTTGATTTCAGGAGGCAGGCTTGGTGATCAACCTGGCTAAGAGTGATTTCACAAAAGCCCAAGTCACGTTCCTGGGCCATGTTATCAAATGTGGACAGATGGCCCCATGGAATGTGAAAACAAAGCTTATTGCGGAGTTTCCCATACCACTGATGAAGACAGCAGTACGATGATACCTGGGATTGAGTGGTTTTTATTGGACGTTTGTACGGAATTTTAGTAGTACAGTTGCTCCACTGACTGACTTATTGAACAAGTGCAGAAAATTTCAGTGGAAGGCAAACTGTCAGAAGGCAGTTTTTTACAAGAAAACAATGAGAAGATAGAAAGATCTATCGGGTATTTTTCCAGACAATTGAACACTTACCAACAGAAATATTGCACGATTGAGAAGGAAACGTTGAGCTTGGTGTTGGCGTTACAACATTTCAATATTTATATTGTCAGTAACGCGTTTGAGCTAATTGTATATACTGATCATAACTCATTCAAGTTTTTGGAGAAATTTAAGGATAAAAATTCCAGACTATTTAGGTGGAGTTTATTATTGCAGCCATCCAATTTAAAAATTATACATGTTGTAGGATGAGAAAATCTAATTGCTGAAGTGTTGTCGCGACTTTGACGAAGAAAGTTGGAGGTGTTCAGTTGCGGGTATAAATGGACTGAAATAGAATGTAGTAGTGAATGTTTGCATACTTAGAGTCAATGTATTGTATATGTATTGTACAGTACTAATACAGTAAGACTAAGGGTTTTAGAATGAAGCCAGTTTTGTATATTGATGGTTCATTTTTTTAAGGGGGGAGCTGTGATGATGCTGTCACTTTAAAAAGGTTATTTTGTCCTGGGTTTTGTTGAAGAGAGGTTGTAAAGGCAGAAGTTCTGAACTGGCTACTGGAGACAGCCTAAATGAACAACTTAGGAGACCTTTAGGTTTTACTTTAAAAAATTGGAACAATGGAAGCAGCTTGAATGGGCTAGTTCTCACAGACCAGGCTTTCTAGCTTTTTTTTAGCTTTAGCAGTCAGAAGCTGTTTGGGGTCCCAGAAGTGTTTGAAGCTTCAGTGAATGATTCCTAGCTGCAACTTTCTCTGAAATCTCTCTTGATATTGTTTCCCTGGATTGGAGAGCTGCCCTGTAAGAATCTGTGTCTTAATCTACCTTTTTGCCAAGGGCTGTGTTTATGGGATGTTCCTATATTGGAACAGTTAATTAGTAATAGGTACTGTATCTATTTTTTGGGTAAGTTTTCCAAGGGTTAAGTTATTCTAAATTCACTTTCTTTAGCTTGTATTTTAACTTAGTGTTTAAATAAATTGTGTTTTGCTCAACGTCAAGTAGTTTGACCAGTTGCATCACATCTGAAACATGCACTTTACATCCACCTAAGAAAAAATTAGGATCTAGGCAGCCTTCTTAAAATATTTTGAGGGGGCCTGGTCTGGTCCATAGCAGAAGTTATGTACTTCCCCATCAAGTAAATATTAGCCCTACAACACAAAATGATCGGATGAATTAAGTTTACTGATCAGTAATATTGAAAATCAATAATTTTTACATAATTTATTCCTTGACTCAGGAGCAAGAATTACTGTGAAGCATGGCAGTTTAGAGTAGCTTCTCACTGCAGGCCTTAAACTATCAAAAGGTGGTTCAGTGGTTAGCACTGTTATCTCACAGCACCAGGGACCCGGGTTCCATTTCCACCCTCGGGCGGCTGTCTGTGTAGAGTTTGCACATTCGCCCTGTGCCTGCGTGGGTTTCCTCCGGGTGCTCCAGTTTCCTCCCACAGTCCAAAGATGTCCAAAGATTGCCCATAGTGTTCAGGGATGTGTAGATGAGGTGTGTTAGCCATGGGAAATGCAGGGTTACAGGGAAAGCGTACAGGCATGGGTCTGGGTAAGATGCTCTTTGGAGGGTGGGCGTGGACTTGTTGGGCCGAATGGCCTGTTTCCACACTGTAGGGATTATATGATTATATCAGGGAGGTCCCATCTTTCCAGTTAAAGGACATTTTGAAGTAACATTTACCTGCAATGATAAAAAGTCATTAAGGAGCCTATTTATGTATGGCAGAACCAGAACAAATCCTTGTTCATTTGGAAACTATACATCTAACTATGTCTTCTAAGTGGCGACCAGATGTTTAAACCAAGACTGAAGACTTTCTAAATCAAGATGATGCGACATTCATGCTGTGATGAATTATCATAGCCAGATGATGATTACATTCCATTTTGTGAGACTTTACCTCAGCCTTTCCAGGTAGATAGGCTTTTGTCTGAAGAAGACTAGACAACATTTAGTGAAGATTTCCCACAGCTTTATCAGCCCACTAAAATTCCATGCTAAGAAGACAATGACGTCTTGTGAGAAACTTTCTCAACATTACGAATCCTTTCCAGCTCGGTTAGCAAAGGATGAACCTCTTTTATCTTCAAAGATTCCTAATCAGAAGATGTACACAGGATGAATCTGATAACATGCTATAATCAGGCCTAGTTTGATCTTTTACAGAAGTAGATGTGGTACCAGATTCCTCAGTTACTGATATGAAGATTTCTTTCTTATTCTTTCAGATCAGAATTCTTCACCTAGTCTTGAGGTTAAGCCAGTCTGCGTGATGGAAATGCAAATGCAAATTACGAAGCACTACATACTGAAGTAGTGATGGAATTTTAGTGCTTTCAGCTGCGGGGATGGTCACAGCAGTGTTTAGTTTGGCAGCACACAGGATGTGCCTTGTGAGTTTGTCCAAGAATACAGGAAACAGGAACCTTGGCACATGCAGGAAAATGTTTCAGTGGTATTGATGCATGAGAATGATGTTCTACTTCTAAATGAGAGCCCAGACTGTTTTTTCTGTCTTTATCTGATGATCCAGAGGTGCTGTTGGGTGTGGCAGTCGTCAATCCTAAACTTCCGTTATTCTCTTTTCATCCTGAGTATTATCAGAGTCGGAGTCTGAGCAGTCCTGACTCTGACTCTTCCTGTTAAAGCAGCAATCTCTGAGGAGGTTTTTGTCGATTCTTTGCAGACCTTGTGTATGTCTTTTGAAGGAATTCATCTCTGATTGGCAGTCTTCCCAATGATTCACTCATCTCTTTGACTTATAATTGAAAATATGGTGCAGGAATCTCAAGACATCATTGTCTTGCATCCTGCAGATGTAATTAAGTGGTGATCTTCTTTAGCTCTTCTTTGACAGTATAGCTTCACCATTCAACAAGTCTTTCATTGTCACATTGTCTCTTTACTAGAAGGTAAGGTGAAAGAGATACAAGTAATCAGTGCCCAATCAAGAAGAAGTCTTGAAGAGCATCTGCCTATTTTCCTGACGCAGTCACTCACTAGCACCTAATTGTTTTAGTGTGATAAGCTTCAGGATATTGTTAGAAGTCTTGATCTTTTAGTTTCAGCTGCTGTAAGCATAGTTCCAGGGCAGCTTTCCTGCCATTGTCCTATTACGCCATTTCAATGACTAGCTCAAAAGGAATTGAGACACCCCCAGATCATTTGAATCTTTTAATATATTCATTCGAATCTTTTAATATATTCATTCATAGGATGTGGATGCTGTTGCCTGGGCCAGCACGCATTGATCATCCTAGATAGCCTTGAGAAGGTGATGGTAAGTTGTCTATTTATGAAACATGGACTTTCCAGGAGATGGTGGAGTTGAAAATACATTCATATGAGTATTATTGGGAATGTCCTTAGTTAAATGTTTCAGCTAATAACGTTAAGTAAGTACTTAGTCAGAAACTGGAAAGATACCTGGGTAGGGGAGTCGTGATAGGGATTGTTAGGGATTGATGTAAATGTGTATTGAGGTAAGCTGGATTTCACTGAGGTCAGCGGTCATGCACTAGTGTTTTACAAGAACGTTGGATCCTGTACAGCTCACAGCTTGTTTCTCTATAGTATTACCACAAGGACAGCATAATAACAAACATTCTACAGTTTCTGAGAAGTCTGCCTTGATTTGTCTTGAGATCTAAACCCACACAACAACACAATCAAACAACAGCCTTATGTTCTGGAGTATTTATATTTCCAGGACTTCTGAGGCTGTCCAGATTAATAATAGCTGATGGGACTGTTTGGGAATTGGTTATTCGCATTATCCTGATAGTGTGCATTTAGCATATCCTTCTCTTTTTATATATTATTTTGCCAATAAATTACATTTGAGCAAGTAATTTTAACCAAAATAATGAAATTAAGCCCTGGGGTATTCTTTCATTTCAAAATTGATGAGAATCCTTGGTGAGCTTTCCCTCATGAGTTATATGAGAGGTTGATCATTAAGTAAGCAGCACACTTAATGCATGCCTGACTTGAATAAGAACACAAGGTTACATTATTAGGAAATAATGTTTGTTGTGGAAGCTGTTGGATAATCCTTGATACGTGGTAGAAACAAGCCCAAATGTGATGGGCAGACATTATTACCCAACCTTAAAGCACTAAGTGTGCCTGAACAAGGGATTGCTTACAATTACTCAACCACCTCTTTAAACAGACAGTAAGTGTAGGGAGAAGTCTATGAATATGTAGTATGCTGCCTCTAATATGTGGAAATTTCCCTCCTATTTCTGTCTGAAATCAAGTCAGACGAGTGCCTGTAGCAGCCTCCCCGATGTTATTGAAAGCCCTGCACAGTACCTACATCAGGAATCGTGCACATGTAGTCTGCAATTTGTACGTACATTGTAGCGGGGGGTGAGTTTCTTGATGTCGTCGAGAGCAACATCAATCCCCATAACTCCGAGCATGAGCTGGTTCTGTAAAAGGAAGCGGTCTGTTTAGAATGTGGAAGTGACCAAGGTCTTGGACAAGGAGGGTATGCAACAGGATCACCTCAAGATATTACTTTTCTCATCAGCCATGTGTCTCACACCCTGCTGGAAACTCTTCTTGAAAGCAAGCTGGTCATAACCATGTATGGGAAGCAGTTGTTTTTGCTCAACATAGATGCTGTACTTTATGCCCATGGGGCTCACCACTTGCAACCTGTTCAGAGAGCAAATGTATAGGCTGGCACGAACCACAGACCTCCAAATACGTGCAATGCTTTTGGGGTGATGTACTGAGCTCCTCACTTTTCTACTCATACCACTATATCCTTTAGCAAATTGACTTGCAGTGGCATCTGGAAGAATCCCAACACCTAATGACAGATCTACTCTTTCAGGAACATTGAAATAAATCAGTGTCTCCAGAAACTAAGCAAAAACATATCAAGGATTAGGGGGCCAGCAAATCAGTACAGATGCTTTGGTAAAATCTAAACAACTAAAACTGGGCAGCTTGCCAGTACTCTCCACCCGTTATGATACTGACTTATTTGGAGTGTTACTTGGACCCAAATGGGAGGCTGGACGATACTGTCAGATTTGGCTTGTACAATTAGCGCCAACTTTCTTGAACATTGAAGGAGGTCTTGTCCAAATGCCAGACAATAGCAGTTGGTAACGTGTTATATGGTGAGATGGAAATGACCAGGAAATGGGAAAAGTTCTGTCATATCCTTCTATCCACTCAGTTCATATAGGGTCATTAAACTGAAAGATTGGCACAAGGTGGCATACATATTCAAACCACATACCTGCTGGCCATTCTCCACAGTGACATTGAAAACTGGCATTGTTCCTGTAATCACCAGCTCAAGGCTCTAGGAAAAGCAAATCAGATTCATCATGTTACATTTCACTTTTTTGAGCAAGCACTACAATATTCCTTGTACTCACTAATAGTCCACGTTAAATGCTGATCCCTAGAGAGTTATGTCTTGAAATCACATCTTTTGTACTCTTATTACTTACTTCTTGAATGCATTCAGAGAGGGCTTTGATTCAGACCCTGCTCCAAACATGCTTGCACACCCACATGTACCAAGCTCTTCCTTTCCTGTCACTTTACCTCGGTGTTGTTACCTTTATAGATGGTGGCAACTATTCAGGAACTGCAGACTGGTGAGCAGTGAGAAGGAGTGAGATGTATCAGCCAATGCTTCCAAAGCTTGCTAATCAAAAAGTGTACTGCAAAACCTGGAAATCTTAAATAAAAACTGAAAATGCTGTAAACGCACAGCAGGTTAGGCAGCATCTGTGTAGAGAGAAATAGAGTTAACTTTTCAGGACTTCCATCAGAATGGGGAAAAGTTACAGATTAACAGGTTTTGACCAAAGGACAAGTGGGCCAAAGACAAAAGGAAGGTATGTGATAGGGTGGAAGGCAGGAAATTGATTGATAGATTGATTTATTTATAGTCACGTGTACCAAAATACAGTGAAAAGCTTTGTTTATGAGCAGTACAGGCAGATCACAGCAAGCAAAGGATGTACAGATGAAAAAGACTTATTTGCATACAGGTTACATTGCACAGGGTGTGCACTAGGTGAGATCAATGTTAGCAAGATCAGCATTATTTGAGGTTAGAGAGTCCATTCATCAGTCTGAAAACGGCCAAAAGGAAGCTGTCTTGACTCTGCTCGTTGTGTATTCAGGCTTCTGCATCTTCTGCCTGATAGAAGGAGTTACAGGAGGTCATTACTGGGGTGTGATGGGTCTTTGATGATGTTGGCAGCCTTTCTGTGGTAGCGAGCCATGTAAATAGAGTCCATGGACGTAAGGTTGGCTTCATGATGGTCTGGGCTGTGCACACCACCTTCTGTAGTTTCTTACGGTCCTGGGCAAAGCAGTTGCCATACCAGGCCATTATGCACCCAGACAGTATGCTTTCAATGGTGCATCTGTAGAAGGTGGTGAGAGACCTTATGGACATGCCAAATTTCCTGAGCCGCCTGAGGAAGAAGAGGCGTTTTTGTGTCTTCTTGACTGTCGCACGCTGACATCTCTGTCCTTGACCTGCTGCACTTTTTTGGTGAAGATCACTGTAAGCCTGAAGATCAGAAACACATCTTCCAATTAAGCACTTTACAGACTTCTGGAGTCACCATGGTCATAGAATGATACATCACGGAAACAGAGCTTTCAGTCCAACTCATCCCCACTGACCAGACATCCCAATCTGGGATTGATCAGAGATTGAATAATGGAAAGGAGAACCACATTAAGAGAAAGAAAGAGAGCAAACTGGAAGTATGCCAGGCAAAGGAATGAAAATGAAATTTCTAAAGACAACAGTCAGATTGGGATATCAGCACGGATGAGTTGGACCGAAGTGTGTGTTTCCGTGATGTATCACTCCACAACCATGGTGGCTCCAGAATGCTGTAAAGTGCTTAATTGAAAGATGTGTTTCCGATCCTCAGGCTTACAGTGATCTTCAATGAAACAGTGCAGCAGGTCGAGGACAGAGATGTCAGCATGATAGCAACATGGAGAACTAAAATGTAAGGGCACCAGAAGCTTAGGATTTTGCTTGGGGATTGCACAATGGTGTTCTGCAAAGCAGTCACTCAGTCTGCATTTGATCTCCCCAATAATAGATGAGACCATGTTGTAAGCAGTGATTACATAGTGTAGATTGAAAACAATAGATGCAAATTGCTGATTCACCAGAAAGGACAGTTTGTCGGCTTGGAAGGTTAGGAGAGAGAAGGTAAAAGGGCAGTTGCAATATCTCCTGCACTTGTTTGAAAACTTTGTTGGCAAGGGGATGAATGTTGGGGGTAATTGAGGTGTGGATGAGGCCATCATTGAGGGAATGGTCCCTTTGGAATTCAAAAAGGAGAAGGGAGAAGACATGTTTAATGGTGACAATAGTGGACAATGATATGTGTGTGTATGTGTCCACACATGCTAGAACGATGGCAGACGATGTTGAGAACTGGCAACCGGGATTCAGGGTTATCCTCCATTGAGGATATTCCTCAAAATGAGGATGGCACATGCTCATCGCAAGAACCTGTCAGTATTTCAACACGTGGAGGCTGTTGAGCTGCAGCAGTCACATGGTTCTGGCTGACTAGTAAACTCTCTCCTCTTATCACCTGCCAAAGGTGTATCGAAAGTATTACAGATTGTGATTGGCTGCTTTATGACGCACCTTCTGTGGCCATCAAATCCTGGTATGAGAATTGAAGCTGGAACTTCTGGCCCCACATGCTAGTACAACTCCTCCCTGTTGAGTACAAGGGACAGCAGCTGTGGGGTCAGTGAGCTTACAAGGAACATTAGTTGACAGCCTATCCCCAGAAATGGAGACAATGAAAATTAGGAAGGGAGGAATACTCTACATTAGGAAGGCCAAAATCAGATTGGATGACCGCTTGGCACAGCAGTTCCATTCAGTCTGCATGATCCCAGGCTTCATTTCTCCATAGATACTGTCTGACTGTTTCTGTTTTCATTTGTGTCTTTGACTTCTCAACAGATCACCATTCCAAATGTGACTCAGAAAACATTAATAGGGTATTCGATCAAGGAGGGTATTGCAGCTGAGCCCAAAGTATAGATCTAACCTTCAGCAGGAGAGCTGGGACTGGCCAATTTTCCCTTTGTCAGCTCAGGATGAATTGATGGCTCACAAAATACAGCTGTAAGCCTTAACATCACTAAGGAGTTTGAAATGCTCCTTTATTATACTTGGTATCTCAAAATTGGCTGTACTCAGTCTGAAATACTGAAACGTCACATTGTCCCCAGTACACGAAATTATCGAAAAATACATACATCATGGAACCAGGCCCTTCGATCCAACTTGTCCATGCTGACCAAGTTTGCCAAACCAAACTAGTCCCATTTGCCTAAGTTTGGCCCATATCCCTCTAAATCTTTCCTATCCATGTACCGATCTAAATATCTTTTGAATGTTGTACCTGTACTTGCATCTACCATTTCCTCTGGCAGTTCATTCCACATATGAACCACCCTCTGTGTGGAAAAACTTGTCTGTCAGGTCCCTTTTAAATCTTTCTCCTCCCACCTTAAAAATATGCTCCTTAGTTTTGAACTCCCCCACCCTAGGGAAAGGACCCTTGCTATTTGCCTTATCTATGCTCCTCATGATTTTATAAACCTCCAAAACCTCACCCCTTAAACTCCTATACTCCAATGAAAAAAGTCCTAGCCTATCCAGCCTGTCCTTATAACTCAAACCCTCCAGTCCCGGTAACATCTTGGTAAATCTTTTCCATTTTAATTCAGTGTCACTTGTATTAAATGTCCTTTCATAGTATGTGGACATCACTTGGGTTCCGTTGAGAACAGATATAAGGAAACCACATTGGTATGGATCTAGAAGTCACACAGAGGTCAAAACAAGTAAGGAGAACAGATTTCCTTCCCTGACTGACATTAGTGAACCAGGTAGGCTTTTACACCAATTGCCAATAGTTGTTACAGTCACCATCACGGAGGTGTAGGTTTATATTCTAGGTGAACTGTTTATATTCTAGGTGGGATATGAACCTGTGTGCCAGAGCATTGGCCTGGACCTCTGGATTACCAGTCCATTGACATCACCACTGTACCAATGTCACATTCCATATTCTGTTCCATTGGTTGGAACTGGCAGTCATCTGAAGAAAGCAAATCGATTTTCTTGTAGAAATTAAATACCTTTATAAGCAGTTTAAATAAGGAAGCGTTGTGAACTCCATGTGCACTCTAGCTGCTCAGCCCCATGTGTCACCACATTCCCCAAGTAAATATAGAAACCTATGAGACTTATGACACAAACCAGAGCTGCTACCAGTTTGCCCACAAGTGTTGCTGTGCCAGTTTTTGTGACACATAAAATCTACCTTCTGCAAGTTTTCAACATTTGGTACTGTGCTAGTCTCACTGCATATCTCTGCTGCCACGTTAGGTAAAGTACTCGGCACAGGCTACTCTGTATTCACAGTTATCTCATGGTTGCCTTTATGCCTGTAATTAATTTGTTCTTTGGGCATAAAGAAAGTCTTACTCCTCACTGACTGGGAGCATCTGACACTGCATTTCATTTCGGGACATGTGTGTCATTTTGGCTCAGTTGGCTGGATTCCTATCTCTGATTCTGAACACTGTGATTACAAAACCTAAGTCCTAAGCTTGGACACATACTCTGCACTGACAGTAGGGTACTGAGGAAGTGATACCCTTCAATGGAAGAGAAAGTGGACTGGGGTGTTAAATGATGAACAATTCACTAGTTTGCATTTTCCTCTAACATTCCAGAGTAACTTTAACGATGTGACATTCCAAAGGAAAGGAAGATTCCATGTAGACACTTTGTTCTGCATCTCATTCCAAAGTAATCTTACCAAAGCATCCTGATAAACATTGGTCCATTGAACTTTTTTGGCTTTCTTTCCTGCCATCACCATAGGACGACCAAGAACATCTAAATACTCCTGTAACATGGAAATACATGGTCATTTTAATGCAGTCCATCTACATTCATCTCTCATACAGTCTAAAGCATTTCTCATCATTTCATAGTATCTTCAAATAGAATAAATCAAGCAAATACTTAGATTCCATTCAACATTGACTGGATAGAATACTGTTCAAAGAAAATTAAACAATAATGTTCTTTGTATGTTTAAGGTGGCCTCAGAGACCAAAGGTAAGTCGTGACTGTCGCTATGAACTCTTCCCCACTGTACCAGTGTTTCAGATCCCATCTCCTGAAGAGTTCCTTGGATATTGTCCTCTGGCACATGTCTGTTGGTGAGAGGGCTAGAGTGATTAATGATTCATAATGTGTGCATTATTTTCAGTCTGAAAAGCCATAAAAGCTGCTCAGATGGAACTTCCTGAAGAAATGAATACTCAGTGCAGACTTATACAATGGTTTGTCCTGTGTGCATGAAACGATGGTTTACATTATGAAAACATATTGGCCTCTTGGAAGCCAAATGAAAACCTCAAACACAACCAGCTTTATTGCCGGCCTGTAATTTCTTTGCTACCGAAATTGGAATCAAGTCATACACAACAGGTCCAATTTTACCCTTCCCTGGTGGAGGCAAGAGAGGTGACAAGAGCATAAATAATTAGCCGGGTTGGCTCTGAAGAGATACTCACCCCGTCTCATGGTTACTTAAGGGTCTCAACTTGTCACCAACTGATTTGCCTGCCCCCTTCACCAGGCGGGAAAAGTGGCTGGATTCCTGATTGAGAAACCAGGGCGAACTTCCTGCCAGTTCATGGGTGGAAAACTCCAACGACCCCAATCAAAGCTATCACCCTGCCCTTACCTCAGGCCCCTGATCCTACTCTCCCTGCAAACCCCATACCACAAGAAGCAGAAGAAAATGCCTTATCTTTATAAGACGAGGCTCCTGTCATTGATCTCTATGGCCCAGAGGTGCCAGCCTCTGGTTGGCAAGCAATATCTTCTGTGGGGCAGGGCTCCACTATTGAAGCCTGCAACTGGCAGAGAAGCTCGCCGGTCAGCTCTTAACAAGCTGATTGGAGTTCATATCACCGAGCTTTCTCAGTGTGGCGTGTTTGTTGCCATTGAACACAGCTGCTCCACAAATTAGACCATAAATTACAGCATCACAGCCGTGTTTTCTAAAGTCTGCTTCCACAGCTACTAAAAGCTATGTGCAGTAAAAAGGGGGCAATTGTTATTGATATTTTCAGGGGAACAGTCTCTTAGAAATCCTCAGTGTCTCTAGCTGACAGCTTCTCAGGCGTGCTCACATGCTGTAGTACAATGATGTGTAGTATGGTGACACTGACAGCAGCTGTCACGTGCTATTGAGACTCTGAGACCAATGGAATAAAAGTATTGCAAAACTGTAGTGCAAGGATCAGTATTCTGCAGCATACAATGTAAATAAAACAGTTTATAAGAATTCAAGAAAATGTCACTCTTAGATAAGGCAGAGACAAAGCTACAGCAGAATTGGAGCAGGAGTAGTTTAGTCTAAGAAAATAGGCAGGACCAAACCCCAAAGTCCAGACCTCATGGCATTCAGAATTCATGTGGACAGAACAACATGAGGTATATCTATGGTGACAGTTGAACCCATGAAGGCATCTCAACCCACATGGCACATGTAAGCATTCACATCCCCACAAATGCGACCTCATACATATATGTAAACATATACACATGCAGAAACCAAGGCACTTAGATCCCTACACACACCCTCACACGCCCACAACCTATACCCACATGTATACACTGAAATTCTACACAGATATACACACAAATGTATATGCATAAACACACAGACACCTAGATACATGTAACCCACACATGTATTCACATCCACCCAGATGCATAATCTCGTGCAGAATATTTTGCCCTTGAAAGGGCTGCAAGTGGAAGGGGTGCATAATGTAGGCTTGCATTTCCCTGAATTTAATAAATTGAGAGTCGATCTAATTGATGTGTTCAGATTCAATAGACTAAACACAGAAATTATTTGCTCTGATGAATCTAAAACAAGGGTACATTCTTAAAATTAAAACTAATCTGTTTGTTTGTGAAATCAAGAAAGTTGGTAGAAATGTGGAACACTCTCCCACATGATTGCCAATCAATACTAAGACTGATGGGTTGTTTTGATAGGCAGAGGATATTGTGATGCAAAATCATGAAAGGAAAATGGATTCGAGGCACAGTTTAGCCATAACTGAATTAAATAACAGAACAGGCTCAAGCAGCTGGTACACCTGTACTACATTCCAATGAAGTACTATTAAAAGAATCAGTGAACACTGGTAGATGTTGCCACATTGGGAGTTGGTAAATGCAGTTCTCATTCTTAACGGTAACAGTAATAGATGCAGACAAATACATATATGGAGGCCTAATCTTAATTAAAGGGAAACAATACAACCAATAAGAAGACTGAATCAATGAGAATGTTCGTGAAAATAAGATAACAAATGAAGCAATGTAACCTCTGAAGTTTGCCTAATCAACCTTAAATTTGAAAAGCCTATGCCATATGACTCATCGTGTCAGATAAGGAAATGTAAGTAATAAGATGTGATATAATGAGTAGAGCCAGAGATTCTGCAGGAGATGAAATGCAAAGGGTTAACGTGAATGTGTAAATATGATAGTCGACATCATCACTGGGAAGTGATATAAAATCACATAGTTATTAGATGGCTATCTTTAGCAGCATCGTGTAGCAGGCAAAGACACATCCTGTACTTAGGTGGTTCAATCAAGACCTGAATTTTTATCAGCCCCATTCCTAGTTCTTCCAAAGTTAAACTGCAGAGACTGGAGTACAAAACGCTATGAATAAATGGACACACACAATAGGCAGGAAAAAGCCTAATGGGTAAACAATAAGTGACAGGATCATTGGAAAGAAATAACAGGCCCTGACAGAAAAACATTGTTCCCCATGATATTTCTGCAGTTTGCCCTATGATGATCTCTCTCCACTCTGTAAGTCTCCCAAACAGCAGCAGTCACTCACCTGAGTATTGATCCGAATTGCTCCAATGGATGGAATTTCAAAATAATATCCTGGGAAGAGAAAAAAATATTAGAAACAAAATCCATATGAATAATTAAACACACATAAAAAAGTCTCAGAGACATCAGCGTCCTAATAAAACAGTTACCATTTTAACAAACCTGAAACTCAGCAAATCTAAAATGCTTATTAACTTAGTGAGACGCAATCAAAGTCTGAATTTGTATTCGCTCACTAGAGATGACCTAAGAGATGATTGGGCTCTCCCACATAGTGTGAGAATCTATAAAAGGTTGTAAAGAAATTGTGATTTTAAATGTAAAAGGAATCTTGGAGCTTCCTTGTTGCAGCATCTATTATCGAAAATAAAAAGTATTTGAGTGGAGTGAACAAAGATATCTCAAACTGTTCTAATGCACTGTGCCTGCGATTGTACTAATGCAATGTGCCTGCGACTATTCTAATGCACCGGGCCTGCGACTGTTCTCTTGTGCAGCATGTCTGTGACTGTTCTAACGTGCATGCCTGTTCTTATGCACCATGCCTGTATTAATGCAGTGTGTTTTTACTGTTGTAATGCAGCATTCCTGTGACTATTCTAATGCAGCATGCCTGTGACTATTCGAATGTGCGTGCCAGTTCTTATGCACCATGCCTGTGTTAATTCAGTGTGTTTTTACTGTTGTAATGCAGCATTCCTGAGACTGTTCTGATGCAGTGTTTCAATGTACTGTGCCTGTGTCCATTGTAATGCACCGTGCCTGGTTCCATTCTAATGCACCATGCCTGTGGTGTTCTGGTGCAGCATGACTGTGACTGCACAAATGCACCATGCCTGTGACTGTTCTAATACTGTGTTCTTATGATTGTTTTACATGCACTGTGCCGGTGCCTGTTCCAATGTAGCGAGCCTGTGACTGTTTGAATGCAGTGCCTGTTCTAAGGCACCATGCCGGTGACTGTTTTAATGTACCATGCTTTGTCTCCACACAGATTGTGATTGTCACTCTTACCAAAACTGTCATGGGAAGGTGGAATTTCAACAGATTGATTGGTAAGGATGAGGTCAAGTATGTTTTCCCTCTTGTTGGTTCTCTTGCCACCTGCCACAGCCTAGAACTTATGTCCTTTGAGATTCAGCCAGGTCAAACAGTAGTGCTGCTGTTGAGCTACTCTTGATAATGGCCAATGAAGTCCCCCAGCCAGATTACATTCTGCAACCTTTCTACCCTCAATTACTTCTGTGCCTCTTCCAATTGATGTTCAGTATCGAGGAGTACAGACTCATCAGCTGAGGGGAATGGGGGCATAGGTGCTTATCAGCAGGAAGTTGCACCTGATGCCATGAGATTTCATGTGGCCAGAAGGAGTCTGAGGTGCAATTCCGACTCAATATCAGAATACATTGCTCCCACTTTTATGTGGTCTGTCATGCTTGTAGGACACAATATACCCAGGGACAGAGATCGTGGTGGCAGGGGCATTTCTCTGCAAGATATGGTTTGATAAGTATGCCTATGTCAGTTTCTTGCTTGGATTGGTCTGTGGGATAGCTCTCCAATTATGGCAGCCGACCCAGGTATTAGTGAGGAAGATCATAGGATTATAGAGTCCCTACAGTGTGGAAACAGGCCCTTCAGCCCAACAAGTCCACACCGACCCACAGAGCATCTTACCCAGACCCATCCCCCTACAACCCACCTAATCTACACATACCTGAACACTATGGGCAATTTAACATGACCAATCCACCTAGCCTGCACATCTTTGGACTGTGGGAGGAAACCGGAGCACCAGGAGGAAACCCACACAGACACGGGGAGAATGTGCAAACTCCACACAGACAGTCACCCAAGGCTGGAATCGAACCCAGGTCCCTGGCTCTGTGAGGCAGCAGTGCTAACCACTGAGCCACCGTGCGATCAGCTGTGCAGGATGTGCCATTGTTGCGACCGGTGCCTCGTTCGATGATTCATTTTTCTTCGTTACGGGATTTGTACTTGGCTGGCTGGGCAATATTTACTGCCATCTCTAATCATCGCTTGAACTGAGTGGCTTTCTGGGGCTACTTCAGATGCTAGTCAAGAGTCAACCACATTGCTGTGGGTCTGGATTCACATATACTGATATCGCACGTACCTTTAACTGTGCCAACACCTTACACCTGTTATCTATGCAGTGATATTCCTCATAGCTTTAACTGTGTTTACATCCTTGCATGTAACTCTGCAATGATGTTCCTCATAGCTTTAAGTGTGCTAAAATACTATACCTGTAACGGCAGTGATAGTCCTTATACTTTTAACTGTTCTAATATCCTGCACCTGTAGTTATATTAATATTCCTCATAGCTTTAAGAGTACTAATATCCTCTACCCACTGTGCAGTGATATTATTTGTAAATTTAACTGTGCCAATGTCCAGTTCCTCTTCTCTGCAGTTATACATCTCATAGCTTTAATTGTGCTAGCATCCTGTGCTTGTAATTGTGCAATGATATTTCTTATACCTTCAACTGGGGCCAACACCCTGTATCTCTGGCTGAGGGATTATAGCTCTTATACCTTTAACTGTGCTGACATCATGAGCTGTAACTGCAATAATATTCTTCATAGCTTTCACTGTGCTAATATCCTGCACCTGTAACTGCAGTGATATTCCTTGTACTTTTAAGACCATAAGACACTGGAACAGAAATTAGGCCATTCAGCCCATCAAGTCTCCTTTGCCATTCAATCATGGCTGATAAATTTCTCAACCCCATTCTCCCGCTTCCTCTCTGTAACCCTTGATCCCCTTGACAGACAAAAAAAACTATCTATCTCTGTCTTAAATATACTCAACCTGGCCTTCACAGTCTTCTGAGATAGTGGGTTCCAAAGATTCACCACTCTCTGGCTGAAGAAGTTTCTCTTTCTCTCCATTCTAAAAGGTCTTCCTTTTACTCTAAGGCTGTGCCCTCAGGTCCTAGTCTCTCCTACCAACATCCACTCTGTCCAGGCCATTCAGTATTCTGTAAGTTTCAATTAGATTCCCCCTCATCCTTCTAAACTCCATCGAGTATAGACCCAGGGTCCTCAAACGTTCCTCATACGTTAAGCTTTTCATTCCTGGGACCATTCTCGCTCACCTCGTCTGAACTCACTCTAGTGCCAGTATATCCTTCCTGAGATATGGGGTCCAAAACAGCACATAATAGTCCAAATGTGGCCTGACCATAGCCTTATAGAGCCTCAGTAGTACATCCCTGCTTTTATATTCAAGTCCTCTCAAAATAAATGCCAAAGTTGCATTTGCCTTCCTAACTACTGACTCAACCTGCAGTTTACCTTGAGAGAATCCTGGACTAGAACTTCCAAGTCGCTTTGCACTTCAGACTTCTGAATTTTCTTCCCATTTAGAAAACAGTACGTGCCTCTATTCTTCGTACCAAAGTGCAAGACCTCACACTTTCCCACATTGTACTCCATCTGCCACTTCTTTGTCCACTCCCCTAGCCTGTCCAAATCCTTCTGCAGCTTCCCCGCCTCCTCAGTACTACCTGTCCCTCTACCTTTCTTTGTATCTTCTGCAAACTTAGCCAGAATGCCATAATGTATAAAGTGAAAAGTTGTGGTCCCAACACTGACCCTTGTGGAACACCACTTGTCACCAGCTGCCATCTTGAGAAAGACCCTTTTATCCCCACTCTCTGCTTTCTGCCATACAGCCCATCTTTTATCTATGCTAGCATCTTGCCTCTAACACCATGGGCCCTTATCTTACTCAGCAGTCTCTTGTGTGGCATCTTGTCAAAGGCCTTCTTGAAGTCTAACATCCATTGGCTCTCCTTGGTCTACCATGCTTGTTACTTCCTCAGAGAATGCTGGCAGATTTGTCAGGCATGACCTCCGCTTGATGAAACCAGGCTGACTTTGACCTATTTTACCAAGCACTTCCAAGTATTCAGAAATCTCATCATTTACAATGGACTCTAATATCTTACCCACGACCAGAGTTAGGCTAATTGGCCTGTAGTTTTCCGTCTTTTGCCTTACTCCCTTTTTAAACAGGGGTGTCATGTTAGCGATTTTCCATTCCTCTGGGACCCTCCCTGACTCTAGCGATTCCTGAAAGATCACCACTAACGTCTCTACTATCTCTTCAGCTATCTCCTTAAGAATTCTGGGATGTGGTCCATCTGGTCCTGGTGCCATTCAGTTTTTCCAGCACCTTCTCCTTGGTGATGGCCACCATACTCAGGTCTGGCCCCGTCTTTCAAACTTTTGGGATATTACTCGTGTCTTCCACCGTGAAGGCTGACATGAAGTAATTATTCAGTTCCTCAGACATTTCCTTGTTCCCTACTACTATCTCTCCAGTGTCATTTTCCAGTAGTCCAATGTCCACTTTTGCCACTATTTTGCTCTTTATATATCTAAAGCAACTCTTACAGTCTTCCCTTATATTACTGGATAGCTTATCTTCATATTTAATCTTCTCCCTCCTTATTTCTTTTTTTTTGTTGCCTTCTGTTGGTTTTTGTAAGCTTCCCAATCCTCTGGTTTCCCACTGCCCTTCGCCACATAATATGCTTTCTCTTTTGCTTTTATGTTATCCCTGACTTCCTTAGTCAGCCATGGTTGTCTCGTTCTCGCTTTAGTATGCTTCTTTTTCCTAGGGATGCATTTTTGCTGTGTCTCCCAAGTTACTCCCAGAAACTCCTGCCATTGCTGTTCCACTGTCTTTCCTGCTAGGCTCCTCTCCCAGTCAATTCTGCCCAGCTCCTCCCTCATACCTCTGTAGTTGCCTTTATTCAGCTGTAATACCATTACCTCTGTTTCTATCTTCTCCCTCTCAAACTTCAGAATAAATTCAATCATATTATGATCACTGCCTCCTAAGGGTTCCTTAACCTTAAGGTCCCGTATCAAGTCTGCCTCATTGCACAACACTAAATCCAGTATTGCCTGTTCCCTTGTGGGCTCCACTACAAGCTGCTTCAAAAAGCCATCTCGTAGGCATTCCATAAATTCCTTTCCTTGCAATCCACTACCAACCTGATTTTCCCAGTCCACCTGCGTATTGAAATCCCCCATGATCACTGTGACTTTGCCATTCTTACACACCTTTTCTATCTCCTGGTGTATCTTGCGCCCCAGCTCCTGACTACTGTTTGGAGGCCTGTACATAACTCCAGCTATGGTTTTTTCACCTTTGCGGTTTGTCAATTCTACCCACACAGATTCCACACTATCTGACCCTACTTTGTTTCTTACTATTGATTTAATTTCATTTCTTACAAGTAACGCAACCCCACCCCCTCTGCCCACTTGCCTATCCTTTCAATAAGATGTATATCCTTGGATATTCAGCTCCCAATCCGGATTCCCTTGCAGCCACATCTCCATCATGCCCACCACGTCATACCTGCCAATTTCAGTCTGTGCAACAAGCTCATTTACCTTATTCCTTATACTGCGTGCATTCAGATATAACATCTTTAGTCCTGTATCAATCGTCCCTCTTCTCATTGTCATTCATTTGACCAGTGTGCTTGAGATCTGATTCCTGACCCTTTCAAACACACTGTCCTATTTGTGTCTGTGATGAAGACTTTAATAACCTCTCCTGAGTTCTCCTTTCCTGTCATTTCTTTCATATTTTTCCACAGAGTTGAATCCACCCCTACAGATGTTAACCTGTTGCTTTGTTTGCTATTAAGTTTTAACCTTCCCATTCCTCCCACTTTCTAATATAAAGTCCTGTTGACCAGCCTATTTACCCTTTTCGCTAGAACATTGGTCCCAGCTCGGTTCAGGTGGAGACTGTCCCAGTGGTACAGATCCCTCCTATTCCAATACTGATGCCAGTGTCCCCCTCCCATGAAAAGGAACCCCTCCTTCCTGCACCATTCCTTCAGCCACGTGTTTACTTCCCTTATTCTTGACTCCCTATGCCAATTTGCATGTGGCTCGGTTAGCAATCCACAGATTATAACCCTTGAGGACCTGTTCTTTTAACAACTGGTTCCTCCCCCTCCATCTCCAATATCCTTTCAAGCTGGTCAGAGATATCTCTAACCCTGGCACCGGGCAGGCAATACGCCATGCGGGACTCTTGATCCTGCTTACAAAGGATACTATCTATTCCCCTGATTATAGCATCCCCTACAATTACCACTTGTCTTTCTGCTCCCACCTCTTGAATGGCCTCCCGTACCAGGGTGCAGTGGTCAGTTGGCTTATCCTCCCTGCAGCCCTTGTCCTCATCCACACAGGGAGCAAGGACCTCATACCTGTTGGACAAGGTCAAGAGCTGAGGCTCCTCTGTCCCTGAATGCAGGATCCCTCTACCTGCCTCGCTTGCAGTCACACCCAACTGTCCCTGGTCGCTGACCAAATTTGAATTACTTAATCTACCAGGTGTGACTGCCTCCTGAAACACAGCATCCAAGTACGTGTTTCCCTCCCGGATGTGCCGCAGTGCTTGAAGCTCAGATTCCAGCTCATCAACTCTGAGCCGAAGTTCCTCGAGCAACCAACACTCGCATTGGGATCAACCAGCTCCCACATCATACAGCTATAACACATCACCTGTCCAGCCATTTCTACTTAGTTAAATATAAATTTGTATAATTTTTTATAATGAGTTAAGTAAATTTACTGATAATTCTTTGCTGTGTTCTTCTTCAGATTTAGTGCAGATTTCCTACCAGCCAATGAGGTCACAGCCATCCTGTGACATCACTCCAGTTTTTTTGCAGCTATGGTACCCCGAGCTCTGGTAGGTTTATACTCACTCTGTGCTGCTGCTCCTTCCTCCGACAGATTCCCGCTGACTAGGCTGTGCTAATATCCTGCCCCTGTAACTGCAGTGATGTTTGTCATGCCTTTAACTGTGCTAACATGCTGAGCCTGTAATTCTGAAGTGATATACCTCATAGCCTTAACTGTGTTAACATCCTGTGCCTGTAACCGCAGTGATATTCCTCAATGCTTCAACTGTGGTAACATTGTGTGCCTGTAACTTGGCACTGATATTTCTCCTAGCTTTAACTGTGCTAATATTCTATACCTGTAACTGCACTGATATTCATCAGAGCTTTAACTGTGCTAACATCCCGGGTCTGTAACTGATATTTCTCATACTGCCAACTGGACTAACGTCCTGCATATGAAGCAGTAGAATGAAGTTCCTCGCTTCTTTAACTGGGCTGACATCCTGCACCTTTGGCTGAGGAATTATATCTTTTATACCTTTAACCATGCTAACATCTGGTGCCTGTAACTGTAGTGATATTCCTCATCACTTTAACTATGTTAACATCATGTGAATGTAACAGTGCAATGACGTTTCTCACTATTTAACTGTGCTACAATCTCTGTGCCTGTTAAGTGTATAGTAATATTTGCCGTACCTTTATTTGCACAAGCCATCCACTGTAGGGGTGTGACATCATAGTTATGCTGTCCAACTGAGAAAGTAAAGACACGGACCTAAGAGTACAGACAGTGAGAGAGAGAAAACATAACTAGAGGGTACATTTAAATACAATAGTTACATCTCTCAATCCAGCTTTTCTCGCTCTTATTTCAGACCTTTTGATGGAATTGGTCAATAATGTTATCCAAATGTATGCTCTGTTTGTTAAGGATCTTCAATTGATTCTTTTTATGCTTCATCACCCTTTTATGTTAGTATCACCGAAGATATTCATCGATCTGCTGCAGACTGGGAGTGAATTTAAAGGGATTTAGTGTGTTGGAGATGAATGGGAAGAAATTTCCTCTATTGGGAGGTGGAAATGAAGCGGTAGGTTCATTGGAATTCGCTAAAATGTTAGCGAAGGACAAAGAGTTAGACACATTGGGATTCTGCATGATGGGAGTGAGCAGGAAAAGGGATTTAATCGATTGAGAATGTTTTCAGAACGACTGAATATTAAATGGATTGGTCATTTAAGTGAATGCCAATGAATGGAAAGTTACATCAACCATGAGGATTCTATCTGATAACTTGTATGAGAAAGGGACCTTATACATCAGAATTGTGTACAATGGGAATGACTGGAAAAAATTTGGTTAATTGTGATTTCATACAACTGTGAATGAATGGAAAGGACTTTTGTCCATTGGCAGTCTACAATGAAGGGGTTTGGTTCATTGAAATTAGGTGCAATGGGGTCAAATAGGAAAGGGCTTTGTGCATTAGTGTTATCAGCAATGGGAATGAATGGGAAGGGATTCAGTTCCTTGGTAATGTGTGTAATAGGCGTGAATAGGAAGAGCATGAGCTAGTCACACTGGCGGCACGGTGGTTCAGTGGTTAGTACTGCTGCCTCACAACAATGCCAGGGACCCAGGTTCAATTCCACCCTCGGGCAACTGTCTGTGTGGAATTTGCACATTCTTCCCATGTCTGCACGGGTTTCCTCTGGGTGTTCCAGTTTCCTCCCACAGTCCAAAGATCTGCAGGTTAGGTGGATTGGCCATACTAAATTGCCTGTACTGTCTAGGGATGTGCAGGCTCGGGAGATTAACCTGTACCTATTGGCTTTCTATTGCCATCCTGCATGATACAAAATTCTGAGTACTTTGCTGAATCTGGAACTGTGCCTGAGCTAGTCAGCTGCTTGCACCCTCACTCAATGGATCACAGTAAGATATTGGCCCAACCCTATATGGAGCAGCAGAGGGCTCCTTCAATTATTGATTTTCTCCTCCCCACCTCATTAACCCAAATTCAAGTTAAAAAATCAGATGAAAGACAATACAGGTAAAAAACTAATCAGAATGTTTTCAATTAAAGAGTGCCAGATTTTGTGAGAAAACGGGATCTAATCAGTTAAAACTGCAATTAATTTGAGACCAGCAAATTATGCAATGACCATCAACTGAATTCATGAAATCATGTTTGATTCCGCGATAATCTGGTTTCATTAATCAACAAGCTTGAATTTTTTTGGATATTTACACCAGTTTTGGTGTCCATTTTTAAAACTGTTACGAAGAATCCATTTGGACAGTGTCTGATTAGGAATCAACAAAAGTCCCAGGTAAATACACAATATTAAGGTAAATGTACCCCCGTCTGATCTGTTTAGCCTCTATACCTCATTAACAGAGGCAACGTGCTAGCCATAGCTCAACGACAGTAGTGATAGTCTTCAGGGTGAGAAAATTGTCTGTCCAAATCCATTCTAGAAATGTGTGCTGGTAAACTAAAGCCCTGTGTGCCCCTCAGGTGAGCATGAAAGATTGCATGGCATCTTCCACCTGTGGGATGGAACAGACTATTCCTGAATCAGCCAGCAGAGGGCACTCATAGCTCACTACATGGACAGTTCTGGGTTCTTTTTCACGTCAACCTATGTATTTACAGGGAAGAGGTGGTGGACTAATCAGTGCGGCATCAAGATTATTCTGAGAGCGGAAATCAAAGATTATCATATTTTATGATGCAAGCAAGCATTACATCTCAAAATACTGCATTGCGTTTGCCATGCAGATTTTGCAGAGGAAGGGGAATGTGATTTTGGAAAGGGAAGCAATAATGAGCTTTGACATATTAAAGTTTTAATCAAGATATTAATAACAATCCCATAAGGTGAATTAGGCTAGTGCAGTACCAAATGCTGCGTAGCGCTGACAGAAACAAATGAGCCATTTCCAACAACCATTGTATAGAGTTTTTAGTGAGTAAGATCTGTTTCCTCCATTCAAAATACTTTTTGTACTTTCTTATCAATGAGCTTTGTATTTATCTTTCTACCAGAAACTCTGGTCAGAAAAAATACCATAGTGAAGTTTCTATGAGTCAGACTGACTCTGGTGGAGACCTTTAAAAGTGGTAGGTGGGACCCAGATGAGGAAGATCCCATTTTTACCATCAGTGGGAAGGAGACAGGCCATGAATCACAGAGTGAAACCCAAACTGAGAAGGACCAATTGAAATTAGTCATTATTTCAATCAATCAGACCCCATTTTTATCATTCCAAAGGTTTCAAACCATTGCAAGGGAGCCAGAAATTTATGGAGGTGTAAAGATGCTTTTAAGGTGAAGGTCTGTTTAAGTGTCATGATCTTAAGTTGTTCTAATTCTCATCCCTTTAAAAATGAAAAGAAAAACAAAAACAGGTTGTAGCTTTTAGTTGGAAAAAAGGAGAAGACAACCTTTGTTAAAATACATTCTTATGGGCTTATTTCATTGATTGACAGGCCATCTGCCGAAATACAAAAAAAGGAGTCCACGATTTATGAATGTTCGATTTATGAATGTTGTACTTACGAACATGGTTCCATTCAAGGGTGTATTAAAATACTGTAGTTTTGAATATTCAGCATATGAATGTTTCATGTAATTACAATCAAATATTTTACATTAAGTTTCAACTTGTGTACAAATTGACTTGCAAACGGATTCAAGAAGGAAACCTGTTCACAATCTGGGGAAAGCCTGTATTAGCCAACAGTTCCTGCAATTTTAATTGTTGACATTTTCCAACAACTGTCAGCTGACAGCTGAATCCATTTTGTACATTTTGGATTGGTTTCAAAAATTAGTTTACGTTTTAATTTATAGTTTTAAGAGCCTGATTAGCTGTCTGTGATGTATTGGGTGAGTAAAAATTTGTTTTTAGAACAGGTTGATTATTTGAGGGGATTAACAATTTTGAATGGTTTTTATGATGAAAAGATTTTTCAGTACTAAGTGTGTATAAGTTAGATCTCTCAGAATTTGGAAGCCTTTTTTATTTGCACATGACTCCTGTGGTCTGGCCATGGTAGAAACTGGGTGATTGGTAAAGGAAATAGCGTAGGTGTGGCAAGTTGAGTCTGAGTCTGAGTGATGGGAGAGGGCTAGAGGGCCTAACAACTTTTATTCAACTGGCTCCATTCAGCCACCTCTGAACAGCATCTAGAGGCAACAGCCCAAACTTTATCATACCACCAAATCACACCCCTTGCCAACTTCTACAGAGGTAACAACTGTACGTGAGGATCATTTGCAATGACCCCGATTCACTGAATTGTGAGATTTCTACTCTGAAACTTCCTGCCCTGGTGGTGAAAATCTAGCCTGTGTCTCACTCTGGTTTGAACACTGTGGCGTAAATTTTCAGGGAACAGTAATCACTGGATTGTTGCTCCTGCTCCCTTTATCAACGCTGTGATTGAGCTCCCCATTTCTAGCTGGGCATTCCAAACCCAGCCATGGTAGAATGGCAGGAGGGTCAAGTGATAGGGTAGCATGATAGGATGGAAGATTGGTAAAGGTGGAGGATGGCAGGGTGCTAGCATAATACAGTGGGCAACTGGGCAAGAGGTGCTACAATGGTGAGGTTGCATCAATTCAGTAAGTCAGAGGTTTGGAAATGTCAGAGCATTAGCAGGGACAGTAATGAGGGTCTGAGGAGTCAGTTGGATGTCAGGGAGGGGTCAGGGTGGGGACGTCAGTTGTAGGCCAAGAGTTTGACTAAGTTTTTATATTTCTACAATTCCCCAAGTATCTATCCAATTAAGTATATCCCAAGTCTCTGATTCTAACTCACAGTCAAGATATTTCAGCAGAGTTCTGGAGAATTCCCATCAAAAGTTTAAACTCCCAGTGCACTGCATCCTGAGAGGTCCTGATGGTTATGTCTGGTCTCGAACCATCCAGAGACTGGGAGATCTTGGCCTTTTTGTCATACTCTGGTGAACAATATCAGTCTATCTCACTCTGGTCTGCACAGTCTTTTTGTATTAGGTTGCCAACTCTGGTTTGAAATATTCCTGGAGGTTTCATTCTGCTGACAAATCATGTACATCTTCATGGAATCCCACCTTCCCTTGGCTAATTAAAAACTGATTGGTTGATACGTGACAGAGTGTTCAACCATTTTTTCTCGTCTCCAAAACTTTAACTAGTAAACATTCGAAAAGAGAAAAGGAATACTTTTCAAATTACTATATGATCTTTCTCCAGAATTGCTTGCAATTGCAATATTCCTGCAGAATCCAGTACTATCCTGGCAATACCACCTCTAAGAGTCATCCACATCCCTCTTTACACAGCTCACTGCCGCAGAAAGATGGCCATCATCACAAAAGACCCATCGCACCCTGGTAATGATCTCCTACAACCTCTTCTGTCAGGCAGAAGATACAGAAGCCTGAACACATGCACAAGCAGGTTCAGGAACAGCTTCTTTCCGGCTGTTATCAGACTGATGAATGGACTCTAGCCTCAAATAATGTAACCTGCAATGTAACCTGCATGCCTCTAAGTCTTTTTGATCTGTACATCCTTTGCTTGCTGTGATCTACCTGTACCACTTGTAAACAAAGCTTTTTACTGTATTTCGGTACACGTGACAATAAAATCAATCAATTACTTAATTTATTTTGATATTTTTAAACCATGTTTTGCTGTGCCTTTTCACAAAATCATCAGTTATTTTTAGTGTCTTTTTGTTTCTTAATCCCTTTCATTGTTGTATTCAGCTGGTTAATT